TGATCCAACTCACATCCATACATGACTATTGGAAAAACCATAGCTTTGACTATATGGACCTTTGTTGGCAAAATAATGTCTCTGCTTTTTAACATGCTGTCTAGGTTTTTCTTCCAGGGAGCAAGCGTCTTTTAATTTTATGCCTGCAGTCCCTGCCTGCAGTGATTTTGGAGCCCAAGAAAGTAAAGTCTTTCACTGTTTGCATTGTTTCCCCATCTATATGCCATGAAGTAATGGGACTGGATGCCATGATCTTAGTTTTTTGAGTGTTGAGTTTTAAGCCAGCTTTTTCACTCTCCTCTTTCACTTTCATCAAGAGGCTCTTTAGTTCCTTTTTAGTCCGAGGCACCTGCTCATGTGCCCGCAGCCGAGAAAGTGGGGTCCAGGACAGTGAGGTGGTCGTATGTGGACTAACGGACTGTCTATGAGGCATGGGAAGGACTGATGGGCTGTGTCTGATGGACTGTGTGATGGCGAGTGGGAAAGGGACCCACAGGTGCAGAGGCTTGGAGGTTGGACTGTGGCGGCAGTGTTAGAAAAAACTGGAATCTGTCTTGTATCTGCATAGAGCAGAGAGTGTGAGGTGGTGTCTCACCTAGACTGTCAAGCTGAGAGTTTTGTGGGCTCAGACAGTAAAGAATCCGCCTGCAATGTGGGAGACCTGAGTTCAATCCCTGGGTGGGAAAAATTCATCAGAGAAGGGAATGGCAACCCACTCTGGTATTCTTGCCTGGAGAATTCCATGGATGGGGGGGTCTGGCAGGCTACAGTCTGTGGGGTCACAAAGAGTCGTACAGGACTGAGCAGTTAACAATTTAACTTTCACTTCTGAGAACCCACTGAGCCATGGAGAGTTGTAAAGAGAAGAAAGACACAGTCTGACTTAGGATTTTGAACGTTTTCCAAGAGCTACTCAGAGAACAGACTGAAATGGGAGTGATGCTGGCAGTGAGGTGCAGGGAGGGTGAGTCCTTGTCCAGCATAGCTGCAAAGAGGCAGCTCTGCTGACTGAAGCAGAGAGTTCAGTCTTTTAACCCCAGGTTATCTACTCACAGATCCCCATGGCTGAAGAATCACTTAATGGAACCTACACAGAGAAGTCAAGGGTGTCCCAGGCCCTCACTGGTTTGGATCTCATTCATAGAACCTGAGATTGTGGTGTCCTAGGACTCTTCGCCTACCATTTCCCCAGCCCTTGGGTCTGGGGACCTGGGAGAAATCATCTAGACTCATTCTGAGTCCAGGGCAAAGGATTTTCTGGAGGAATTGTTCTTTCTGCCACCAATGAGAAAAGGTGTAGAAGATTATCTCGGGAACGCCTACCAGCATGTGCAAGTGCTTGGTTGGGTGGCCACAAGCTGGGCACAGGGCACAGATCTTCCTTTTAGGAACAGAGTGTAGGGGGAGAGGAGTCATTCTTGTATGTGGTTGCCTGTGAAGTTGAGCATCTGCTGTGGAAGTAATGCAGATTTGGAACAGAGGAGGGAGATAACCTTACTTCCAGGCTTCATCTGGTTACAGAGTGGAAAACAGACTTTGGGAGGAGGAAGGCGGACCAGGGAGGAGGCTACTGCAGAAGTCCTGATGCATGGTCACGGACCAGAGTAGTGGCTGTGGAGGTGGAAGAAGTGGTTGGATTCTGGGCTCATTATTTAAGATGGGCTGCCCAGATTTTCTCATTTTGAGGGTGAGAGAGAGAAAGCTAAGAGTAAGGGTTGATGGCAAAGCTTTGGTCTTAGCGACTGAAAGCCTGGAAGCTTCATTAACTTTGAGATGAGATGTTCAGTAGTAAGAGTGATTTTCTATGGAGATATCAGAAGTTTTTGTTTTTGGCTGGGTTTCCATCTGAGATCTTTTTTTTTTCAGAGAACAAATGAGTGGTGGCATCAGGTGGGCAACTGGACAGAGAAGTCTGGGAATCTGGGGTGCGGTTCAGCATGTGTGTGTGAACTCAACTGCTTCTGACTCTTTGCAACCCCACAAACTGTAGCCCTCCAGGCTCCTCTGTCCATGGAATTTTCTAGGCAGGTGTACTGGGGAAGTTGGCTATTTTCTACTCCAAGATCTCTTCAACGAGGGATTGAACCTGTGTCTCGTGCTTGACAGGTGGATTATTTACCACTGAGCCACCTGCTAAGCCTGGTAGAGAGTTATAGGTATCTAAAATTCACTTATGATTCAGTATGACTAATGTTAAAGCGAGAATTAGAGACAGGTAAGAGGTTTTCAAATGGTGTTGGGATCCATGAGAGGTCATGGGTAGGACTGGATACTGTTTGGTTTTGCCCTGTTCTCTGGGATGAGTCCAAGGAGATGACTATGGTGTGGGACAAGGAATTGGTAGTGGCTGCAGGGGTGCAGCTGTGGGGTCTGGAGATGTGAGAGAGGTACACGTGGAGGTAGGAAGCACGAATTGATGGCTCTTGGGCCCTGATATAGGATATATAAGGGTAATGGGTAACTCCACATTTTATTGTGAGGCGTGATATGGAAGATCCCATGGGAATTGCCTGGCAGGAAGGGATGTTTAGTTGCTCAGTCATGTCTGACTCTTTGTAACCCCATGGCCTGTAGCCTGCCAGGCTCCTCTGTCCATGGGATTTTCCAGGCAAGAATGCTGGAGAGGGTTACCTTTTCCCTCTCTAGGGGATCTTCCCGACCCAGGGATCAAACCTCATTGTAGGGGGATTCTTTGCCGGCCGAGCCACCAGGGAAGCCCTGGCAGGAAGGGATTGAGTCCTGCAATTCTGTCCCTGAGCATCTCTCCGATGGCATCTCTTTGCCTCCCTGTGTGTAGTTGTTGAGGGCTGGACACAGTGATGAGTGGAACCTTGAGTGGAGAGCAGTACCGGTGGCCTCAGGTTTTGGTATCTCATCTGAAGTGGAGAGCCCGAGAGAAACCTGGGTGTGGGGTAGATGTGTGCAGGATAGATTGTGGATCCTCAGGAGAGAGGACCAGCGGTTCCATCTGTCCCCATCATGACAGGGCAATGTGACTCTGGAGGACATGGCTGTGTACTTTTCCTGGGAGGAATGGAGCCTCCTTAATGAGGCTCAGAGATGCCAGTACCATGACATGATGCTGCAGGTCTTTGCACTTATATCTTCACTGGGTAAGGCCTGCACAATCACCCCTGTGACCTGGGCTAGACTTTGCCTTTCTGCTTTTCTTTAGGGGCTGCTCTGTCCTTCCTGCATTCAAACCATGGGGATTACTTTTGTTCCTAATTCCTTGGGTAGATACTGTTGTTGCCAGGGCTGAGGTGTTTGCGCTACCCTTTTCTCTCCTTGGAGCGTCAATACCTGCTGCCCTGAAGCCTAGTAGGAAGCTGAATGGATCCCGTCTTGCTTGTCCTTTCCATGGCTGGATCACTTTGCAGACCCATGATTGCTTGGTTTGGCTCCGTTCTTCTCACAGTTCTTTCATACCTGCCTGTGCTGAGAATTGCCCTCACTGAGGTGGGCACTGCTTAGGTGCACAATGAGCTATTTTCCTGATACCCTCATCTGAGGTTCTTTTGTAACATTTAGTTTTCTTTTCTCTGATCAGTCATAGGATGAGTTTCTCCGGACTGGTACTGGCCATTTACCTGTCTTGCCTTTCCCTCGGGACTTTAGTTTTCTAGGTTCCATGTAGTTGCTCAGCATGGGTTGCGTGGGAGACCTGAGTGTCTCACAGAATGGATATCAGTCCTACCATGGCAAGATGGAATACAGAGGCCTGGGCTAAGGTGGGGCAAGAACATGACATCAGAGTTCACATCTTACCAGGAACCTGTTTAGACTAGTGTTTTGGAGCCATTGCTGGGTACCACACCTCGTTTATATCTTTTGCCTCATTCTTTATACTTGGCCAACTTGTCATTTTAACTCTGACTTTTAGTTCCTGGCTTCACCCAACTTTTCTGCCTCCACCTGTTACCCCTTCCTTTTTACTGCTGCCTCTGTAGGTAGACAGACAACTATCTTCTCTGAGGATACTGTGGTGACTGATACACGGTATGAGGATCTGTCTGGTGGCAAAGGTGAGATGACTTCCGCCATAAAACCTGGCAGTGACTTAGTTATGGCAAGGGTCCTGAGCAGGGAAATATGAAACACAGCTCCTGAAGATTCCTCACATACCTGGAACCCATGGTAGATGTCTCCTCATAGAGGCCCTCTAGTGTTTTCACACTGAACAGAGAGCACATTCCTTGAAGGTCAAAGGCCATTACCTCATGTAGATTTTGTCATGCAGAAAGCTTTTTTTCCCACATAAGCAGAATTCCCAAAACTTAAGGCCTGAGTTGAGATTTTGGTGTTCAGTCAGAGCAGATTGTTAACTGAAGGCTTTCTCATGTTGGCTGTACTCTTGAGGCCTTCATCTAGTGTGAAGTTTATGGTACTGAATGAGGTTGTAGTTTTGGCTAAATGATTTTCCACATTCAACTGCATTCATAAGGTTTTTCTCCAATGTGAATTCTCTGATGTAGAGTAAGTCTGAATCTTTCTCTGAAGGATTTCTCACATTCCCTGCACTCATAAGGCCTTGCTCCTGTGTGAACTCTTCGGTGTTGAATGAGGCTGGAGCTTTGGTTAAAAGATTTCTCACATTTGGAGAAGTGGAAGAAAGTCACATAATTTTTTGGTCTCCCAGCTAAAATAAAAGTTATGTTTATACTGTAGCCTATTGTGTGCAATAGCAGTATAATCTGGAAAAAAAAGAAAAAAAGGACTACTTTATTTAAAGTATTGGCATACTTTTTATTCAAAAGATATTTTATTTAAAAAACAATTCTAACCATCATCTGAGCCTTCAGTGATAAGTCTCTCTTATCCCTAACACAGCTGAAACTCGCAAAAACCACTTAAGGCTTCCATCTGTAAGTGTTCTTGAAAAAAGGAAATATGAGTGGAGTGTGACTGGACTCAGAGTGACATTTGGTGCGTCCTTGAGGTCTTAGAGCTTTGGGGAATATCTGAGAGGACATTTCTAAACGTTTCTTCCATCCCTACAGAGTACACTACATGGTAGCTGGGTGCGGGCTTCTGAAGAGTGAAGCCCCGCCCCACCCTCGGAGCCGCGACGCCCCAACGCCCCTTGTGATAACAATAGGCGTTAGCCCAGGCCACAAGGGGTCTGCGAGTCGCTGCAGCTGTTGTCTCAGCGGAAACTACATTAACCAGAAGCCTCTGCGCCACAGAGCGGCGGCACTGCTAACCGGTGTTTCTGTACGTGCGAGGTCGTCTGGGAGGGACTTCCGGCATCTTTCTCGCGGCGGACATCTCGGGTCTTGGTCGACCTGTCCGAGCAGAAACTCGGGACCTGTGGTCCGGTTCAGAGGTGACAGAAAGCGAGAAGGCGCGGGAGGAGACCCTATTCTCGCTACAAAGAGGCTCGGCGGCGGCAACTCTCGCGAGGATTCCGCCACCACGCCAACCGACAGCGGTGCGCGGTTCCGACGTGAGATCCTTCCGGACTCTGTGGTCCTGACTGATGGCGGCGGCAGCAGTGGACCCGCGTAAGTGGGTGCTGCGTTCCCCGGATCTTGACGCATCGCGACCCCCACCTCAGAATCGTAGGACCCTGAATGAGTGGTGTTTATTGAGGTCTTTGTGGTCTAGGCTCCGGAGCGTTTGTGGATGGAGCCGCCATTTCTGACGGCTTTTGTACTGGGACGTGGATGAGTGTTACCGGCCCAGCGACTAGCAGGAGCAAAGGCTTGGGACTGCGAATGAGCCGGGAACTTTCGGGAAACGTGGGTGTTCACATCCTCGGGGAGCAGGGCGGGGTGGGGGGTGAGTAGTAGTCTCGTGGAATGGCAGGGTGAGGCCAGTACGAGAACAACGTTCTCAGCCGTGCAGGGATCTGATCTGATCAGAAGTTTTTAAAAGTATGCCAAAGCTTGGGGGAAGACAAACTAGGGTGGGGTGGAGGTGATGAGGATGGAGGCAGGCACACCGGTAAGGAGANGAGAACAACGTTCTCAGCCGTGCAGGGATCTGATCTGATCAGAAGTTTTTAAAAGTATGCCAAAGCTTGGGGGAAGACAAACTAGGGTGGGGTGGAGGTGATGAGGATGGAGGCAGGCACACCGGTAAGGAGACTGTAAACTCCAGGAATGTTGTGGGGGCTGTTGCAGAACAGTGGCAGGAAGGGTTGGGAGTGGATAAGTCATTAAATTCTGGAGAGATTTTCAAGATAGAACTAAGAGTTTTCTGCTGCGTCAAATATGACTAAGTGAAAAAGAGTGTGAAGAACTACCCAAGTTTTGTTTTGTTTTTTTTTTCCTGAACATCTGAGAGAATCAAAGTGGGTAGATTGGAACAGGGAGCACCTTTCGTGGGGGAAGATCAGAACATGGACATGGTAAATCCATAGTGTCTCACAGTAGAGGCGTCACAGGGGCATTTGGTTATGCTGGTCCAGAGTTATGCAGAGCAGGCTACGCTGTAGACCTCTGAGGAATGAGGCCCCAAAGGTCAAAGCCTGGAGATGAGATTTAGGGGGAGAATGTTAAGGATGTTACTTTATGTGGTCCCTGAGGTGAGAGATTAGAGTACAGGGAAGAAGAGGGGGCCATCCCTGAGATTTCCTCCAGAAAGGAGAAGTCCTGGAATATGAACGGGTTCTGGCTGGTGTCAGCAGAAGGAGAAGGCTATAGGGTGTTAGGACCCTACCTGAGTTGGAGAGCAAGGTATGAGGTGCTATAAATTTGCCACCCTGTGGACTCAGCATGCCCCTCTGTGGCACAGAGGAGGAGTCAGCCAGGCTAGTGGAGCAGCCTCACCCCACTCCAGGGCACTGGTACATCAGTTCCCCAGCTCCTCAGGTGAGAAGAGGTGAAGAGTCAACAGCATGCTCACATACAAGGGATATATACCTGGCAGATTGGTTTGGTGAGAGGACCTAGTGTATCCTTGGCAAATACACATAAGTAGACAGTTACAAATTAAAGGCTTTAAAAACTCAGAACCTATTACTTCATGTGCACCGAAAATATTTGCAAAACTGTTAAGCATATGCAGTAAAAATTAATTCAGAGGTTGATGTCTACTAAATTGATGTGTACTAACACGTCTGATACAAACAGCCCTATTAGGTGGATATCACCATTATCCCTGCTTTATATATGAGAATACAGAGAGCTTGGGTTATGGTCACATAGCTGGTAGGAGGCAGCACTAAGGTCTGACATCCTGAAAGTCAGACATCCTGAAATCATTCTCACCAAAGGGCAGAGCAGGGATGAGGCAAACAGTTAAGTTCATGAGACTCCACTGGGGTAACGTAGCATTTCCAGATCCTTCTTCCTACCAGGTTGCTGTAGTGACAGAAGTGATTATTATCCCTGCATAAATGAGTGTAAAGTGTGCCAGTCCTCAGTCAGCCTAGCCCACCCATCCATGTTCTTGGTGACCTATATGGCAAATAGTGGGGTCTTGGGAATTTTAACCTACCCTTCTGCCTGCCATTGGGTTTGGAGACCCTTGTGTCCGCAAAGGTCTTGTGCTCTGAAAACTGGTCTGGAATTATGTGAAAGGGTTTCCATTTCCAGCAAGCAGTGGGGTGAAGTGTGGAACAGTGTCCCAGGCATGGGAACCAGCCTATGCAGATGCATCACTTAAGACTGAACAGGTTGTGTTCAGGAATTTAAGGTCTCCAATATGTTTGGTGATCAGAGAGCAGGGGACAGGATTCAGCTCTGGACTGGGAACCTTTGGACCTGGGCTTCTCTTTTGAAAGTGATGGGAGCTATGAAAAGTTTGGAGCAGAGAAGGGAGTGATCCGATTCTGTCCTTAACAGGATATCTCTGGCTGTACAGTGAAGAAGAGACTATGGGGGTATAGGAAAGAGGACTGTTGATGATGGCTGGGCCAGAGTGGTGACTACAGAGATGAGAGACAAGTGCTTGGATTCTGGTGGGTTTTGTTTTTTAAAGTAGAATCAACCAGATTTTCTGATGTGGAGGGTGTGAGAAAGAACGGGAAGAGTCACAGATGACTCCACAGTTTTTTTTCCCTGAGAAGATGTAAGGGAGAAAAAAGCCTCAACTGAATTTGTGAAATTGGTGGTGAGAGTTACTTTCAGAAGTAGTATCAGGAGTTAGGTTTTGATCATGTTGAATCTGTGATGTTCCAGAGACTTCTGAATTGAGGTATCAAGTGGACAGCTGGACCCATGGGTATGGAGTTCAGAGGTGGGATTCAAGTTGGAGACATTCACAAGATGACAGCCAGTAACTTATTAGGGTAGAGTCGTGTATCAGGTTTAGAGAGAGAACCTTTATGTCATGGGGGTCTGGAAAGGAGGTGGGGACAGTGGAGTGGAAGTAAGAGTTACCTTCAAGGCAAGAAAAGGGAGGTTAGTGTCCATGGTGAGTAAGGAAAATAGGATGTGCGGTTGACGTCTTCTAGGGAGAAAGTAGACATGAGATAAATGCTGGGGTAAAGCAGTAAAGGAGACGAGGCGAAAGTGAGACCAAAGTCAGTGCTTATTCCCCCGTCCCTGTGCTCCTCAGGCTTTGTGGTGACCTTTGTGGGCACTGGCAGGTTTCAGTCAAGCTGATTGGTTAGTTCAGGGTTAAATTGGGTTAGCTGACAGAACCACTGTACTTCGAGTGGAAGGCCAGTGGGTGTGGGCTTTGAATGAGAACTTAGTGGTAAGTGTGAACACTGTGACTGATGAGGGTATAGTATCCCAAACATGCTATAGCAAGGTGGGAAAGGGCTGGCTTTATCTGATAGTCTGCATATGGTTCTGAACTGCTGAAGGTGAATCAAGGAAGGAAGAATTTAAAAGCTGTGTTTGGATATACCTATGGCAGTGGGGGCCGGAGGTGATCCTGGACTCAGTGACCAAGCATTCTCTGGATGCTGTGTGCAGGTTTATGTCTGGGAGGTACTTGTGTTGTAAGCCTTCTTAGGTAACAAGGGAAGTGTGGTCTAAAGAGTGACATGCCCTTTGAGGTGCAATCTGAAGTCACCGCCTGGGGGCTTTGGTACTGAGGGCTCTAGAAGGAATGCGAAGCTCAAATTTGTGTATGAGGGGCATCATCTTTGGATCCCATGGGAACTAGCTGGCAGTAAAGGGTTGGTCCCTTCTTGCCAGGCCCAGACTATACCGTGTCTGTCCGCTTACTTGCTCTAGGATGGACAAGGTGGTTGATGGGAAATGAGAGAGGAGGTGTCAGTCACATGAGGGCCTGCTGTCTTGTGAGTTGGGGAGCCTGGGAAAAACGTGAATGTGTGGCAGATAGGCCAGGAAACCTGGGGAGAGAGGCTGCCCTTTTGCTCAGTTGTCCACTCATGCAGGAACACGTGAGCTTGGAGGATCTGTGTATTTTTCCTGGGAGCAATGGGGACTTCTTGATAAGGCTCTGACACATTCATATCGCAGTGCAGTGCCTTCTATGCTTCGCTCTTACAGTTTTCCTGGGTAAGGCCCCGCATCACCTAGTTCTGCATGTTCTCCCCTTCCCCCTTTTCCCCTAGAAGTTGTGATTTCCTTCCTGTAAGTGGACCAGGGGCACGCCCTCGCATAGATCCTCTGGGTGCCAGGGCTCAACCGTGTATACTGCCTTCTCCACTCTCTGTGCTAACCTGCACCCTCCAGCACTGAAACTCTGGGCTTCTAACCACTTGACCACCAGGGAATTCCCTATTGAGTCCCAGCTTCTGTTGCCCCAGAATTGCCGGGAAGGTCAAGGGTCTTGTGGTCAACCTAGTGGATACTACCCTGCCTGGCCTCTTCCTGGCTGGATGGCTGTGTCTTCATTTAGGGCACCTCTGTGCTCCCCTGGTGGCTCGGCTAGTAAAGAATCCACCTGCAGTATGGGAATCCTGGGTTTGATTCCTGGGTGAGGAAGGTCCCCTGGAGAAGGGAACAGCTATCCATTTCACTGTTCGGGCCTGGAGAATTCCGTGGATTGTATAGTCCATGGGGTTGCAAAGAGTTGGACGTGACTGAGTGGCTTTCATGTTCATATACTTTAGATTACGTTCGCTTCCTTTAATTGTCATTCCTTTGGGCATACCTCTGTCATGAAGTACAGTCACAGTCACTGCTCGTGGGGCCCACTGGGCTGTTACTTTAAGACATTCATTTGTTATAGTTAGTTTTCTTTTGCTCACCCATGGGCGGACTCCCCTGGCCAATGCTTTCCTGCTCACTTGCCCTGCCGTTCCTCTGTGACTTGTGTGTTCTGGATCCTCTGTAGAACTCTGAGAGGTCGCGACTCCACTCTGAGAGGTCGCGACTCCACTCTGAGAGGTCATGACTCAAGCCACAGCAGAGGGAGCTTGGACAGGTCCTGGTGAGTGGGAACCTGGAAAGAATGTAACTTCAAGGATGGGTTCAAATAGCACTAGAAACCTGTCCTGTGCCCACTACTGATAGGTGCCCAGGCTACAGGCCGTACCTTATTTCTCTTTTCCTCCCCATTCTGGACACTTCACTTGTCATTTTTATTCTGATCTGTGGCCCAGGGCTGCCCACTCCACTCACCAGTGTTCTGTACTGCCCCCTCTGTGGTACTTTTCTCTTTTGGACAGTGTTCATATGTCTTGAGACATAAGCATGTCCTTAAAATAGTTTTTGAATATGAATTACTTAACTTATTTTAAGTCAGGTTTTCTGGGCCTGGACATATATTTCTGGACAGTGGTCCCCTCTCAGTCATGCCAAGGCCCTTCTGAAAGTCATTTGCGTGTTGTAAGTTGAAGATCCTGCCTGCCTTATCTCCCTGAGGCACACCCCATCCCTGTGTCTTTGCTGTTGTGAGGCTTTCCCCATCCTGTGACCCATAGAGTCCAGTACTGCACAGCAGCTTTCTTTAACCTGACCCTAAATCTATTGTCGTGGCTATGCTGGGCACACATTTGTGATGAGGGTGCCCACTCCCACTGAAGTCAACATGCTGTTCAGTGACGTTTTTTTGCTTTCAGGTTGTTGGCGTGGAGTGGGCAAGGAAGAGGCACCTTCTGAGCAGAGTGTTTTTGTAGCAGTGTCACACATTCATACTTCCAAGGCAGATTCACTGACTCAGATGGCTTATCCTTGTAACTTATGTGGCCCAATCTTGAAAGGTATTTTGCACCTGGATGAACACAAAGAAACACGCCATGGACTGAAACCTTACCCATGTGGGGCGTGTGGGAGGCAGTTCTGGTTCAGTGCAAACTTTGACCAGCATCAGAAGCTGTACGATGTAGAGAAATTCCTAAGAGGTGACAAAGGCAAGACCTCATTTGTAACTAACTGTAGAGCTCGTGAAGAACCTCCACTGTCAGAGAAGCCCTTTGCATGTAAGGAGGAGCAGAAGGACTTCCAGGTCAGTTTGGGCAGTCACCAGCAAAAGGCCACCCATAGCAAGAGGAAGGCATGGAGTCCTGAGAGTGGCCAGGCCTTGCACATTGGACAGATGCGTTACAAGTGCATCGAATGTGGGAAGGCTTTCAGCCGCAAGGACACGCTTGTTCAGCACCAGAGAATCCACACTGGAGAAAAGCCTTATGAGTGCAGCGAATGTGGGAAAGCTTTCAGCCGCAAAGCCACACTTGTCCAACACCAGAGGATCCATACAGGAGAAAAGCCTTACGAGTGCAGCGAATGTGGGAAAGCCTTTAGCCGCAAAGACAACCTTACTCAGCACAAAAGAGTTCATACCGGAGAGATGCCTTATAAATGTGGTGAGTGTGGCAAATACTTTAGCCATCACTCCAACCTGATTGTACACCAGAGAGTTCACAATGGAGCAAGGCCTTACAAGTGCAACGATTGTGGGAAAGTCTTCAGGCACAAATCCACGCTTGTTCAGCATGAGAGTATCCATACTGGAGAAAATCCTTATGTTTGCAGCGACTGTGGAAAATCCTTTGGCCACAAATACACCCTCATTAAACACCAGAGAATTCATACTGAGGCAAGGCCTTTTGAGTGCATTGAATGTGGAAAATTCTTTAGTCGAAGCTCTGACTTTATTGCACACCAGAGAGTTCACACAGGTGAAAGGCCTTTTGTGTGCAGCAAATGTGGGAAAGATTTCATCAGAACCTCCCACCTTGTTAGGCACCAAAAAGTTCACACTGGAGAAAGGCCATATGAATGCAATGAGTGTGGGAAGTCATATAGCTTAAGCTCCCACCTCATTAGGCACCAGAAAGTTCATGCTGCCGGAGGCTTTAGGAGTGCTTTTAACACAGCAGGACTCACGGGGAAGAGCTCTGACTTCCTGTAGAGAGGGAGATAACAAATCATGTGTTGAACCATGTGTATCTAGACACTGGCAGTTGAGAGATAGTTTATGAATGCCATGTACGGGGGAAGCTTTCAGAAGCTGTGTTGCACTTTCAGACCTGCTCAGGTTCCTTGCCGAATTATTTAGTATCCATGCCTGTGGCTGAAAACATCTCAACTCTACCAGCTTAGTTACCCTAATATCCTCAGGGGAGGCAGAGCTTTGTATTCTCTCTCTAGTCCCTGGAGGGAGTTATAAGAAACATGAGTTCCGGAATTCCCTGGTGGTCCAGTGGCCTGTGCTCCTTCTGAGGGCCCGGGTTCAGTTGCTTGTTGAGGAAATAAAATCCCACAAGCCATGTGGCCATAAATAAGTAAATGGAAACCTGAATTAAATGGGGGTCTTCATTTGCTCCCCTCTGACTGGCAAAGGTGTGGGTATGACCCATCTTTAGCCAAGAGGATCTGAGGTTCTGGAAACAGAAAAGGTTTACTTTCTTCATGGACATTGTTGGTTTCACTCTCATGTGATACTTGTAACATTTTTCCAGCCTCCAAGTCACCCAACCTAGATAATTATTTGCCTCATGTTGCTCTGGTTTGTGTGATGATAAATACCTTATGATAATAAATACCTTATTATTTAAGCCACCTTTAACTGTGGAGGTTCTTTTTATTGGAGTGGTCTGGAAACTCTTAGGCTCTGCCAAACTGAGGAGGTAAACAGTGTTTGTAGGGGCTTTCAACTTTGGGTGCCTCAAGTGGAACAGCAGGTTGGCAGAGAACACTTCACATTGCTGACAAAAGCTTAATAGGTGAGATTTTAGGGCTTTGTGAGCCTGATTTTATCTGGATTTCAGAGTTATTGGAAGGTCCAGACATCACCTTGAGGAGGGTGCTGTTGTTGGAACAACCTACAATGTATCTGGGAGCAGCATGGCTTGAGTGCTTTGCTTTCACCATCTCACCTAATGGCTCCACACTCTGCCTACACCCAACGCTCCTGGAGAATCAAGGGTTCTGACCCCTCTCCCCTGGTTGCCAAGATTACTTCTCACACCCACTACTCTCCCTCAGGCCCCAGTAACCTACCAGGCATCTACCTGGTTCTGCAGGCCCCTATGCCCAAGTCTCCACTGCCTCAAATCCTGGCCTTGCTACAAAAGCACTCTGTCATCCTGCATCATATAGGAAGCACTGAAATAAGTGTAGCTATATTAAGTCTAGCATGAGAGAAGGTAGTCCAATTGAACCTAGAATTTGTGGACATCCTCGGGTGGTGATATATGGGGCTGTTTGTGAGAGACTGAGGTGTGTAGTACCAATGTATACCTAATTCAGGGTGAATTCTAGGGAAGGCATTTTTTTCTGGGCATTTTGAATGATTCCCTAGAAACAGGAGGCCCATACTTGGGCAAATGCTTAAGTTTTCTTGTCAGAAAAAAAGCTCTGATGTGACAGTTTGTGAGTTTTTCATTCTCTGACCGCCCCCCCCCCCCCCCCCCCCNCCCTCCCGCAGTGACCCTTGTTTGTTTCTTGTTTTCCGGTCAGTTTTTTTTTTTTTGTCTTTGTTTCCAGCTGTTCAGTGAGTCTTAGGAAAATCAGAAGTACCCCCTGGGATACTTGGTTTTCCAGAAGGGAAACAGGAGTAGAGCTCTGATGTCTATTTAGAGACACAGCTCAGAGTACATGAGAGCAATGTGAGTAGAATTCAGGTGGCATAATAAGGGAGAGGAGGGAGCTAGAGATGAGGGGTACAGAGAAAGGGGAGGGGCAAAGAACAGAAGAAAGACCATGGTGATTCCCAGGTGGTCAGTGGTTAAGATTCCAGGCTTTCATTGCAGTCCCTGGTGGGGGAACTGACATCCCGCATGCTGCAGGGCACAGCCATAAAAGAAAAATGCTGTGTAATATGAAAAGCAGATGAGATAATACAAAAGGGGGGAAAAAATTAGTGAATTTTAAAGATACAGAAATTATGCAAAATAAATCACGTAGTGAAAAAATAACAGCAATGGTGACCTATAGGAAAATACCACGTGATCTAATATACACGTGTTTGGAAGGCCAGAAGCGAGAGCATAACAAGAAAGAAAAAAGGAAGGAAGAGCTGAGACATTTCCCTATTTTGTTTAAAAACCAGATAGCAACCACCGGAAGATAGGAAGTTCAAGGAATCTTCTCTAGAGCAGAAGAAACATGGCCTTACTAACATCTTGATTTCAGACCTCTAGCTTCCACAACTGTGAGAGTATAAAATGGTGTTTAAACCACTCAGTTTGTGGGAACTAATCTAGCAACCACCTTTTGCCTTATTAACATTTAGAGAACTTTAAGGGCCACAAAGAATTTTCACAAAAATAAACAATATTCTAGGACATAAAAAATGTCAATAAATATAAAATTAAAATCATGAAGATATATATTCTAAGCACAGGAGAATTAAACTAGAATTTATTAACACTGCTAGAAAAAAATCCCTAGTTTAACATATTTGGAAGTTAAAACATAATTTTCTTTTTTGGCTATGCCATGTACCATGCAGGATTTTAGTTCCCTGACCAGGGATTGAACCTATGCCCTCTTGCACTGGGAATGCAGGATCTTAACTACTGGACCATCAGGGAAGACCCTGAGAAATTAGATAATATTTTGAACCAAATGTAATGAAACCTAACATATCAAGATTTGTTATTGCTGAGATTAGAAGAAAAGGTATAGATATTAAGTATTTTGAAAGTAAGGGAACTAAAACATTTAATATCCAAGTTAAGACACTATAGAAATAAACATAACCAAAGTAGGCAAAAGGAAAGAATAAAGAAGAGAAATTAATAAAATAATTAAAATAGAGAAAATCAGTGAACTCCAAAGCTGTCTTTTTTTTTTTCCAAAGCTGTCTTTTGATTGGATCAAATAATTGATGTATCTCTAGGTAGATTGATCAGGAAAAAAAATTACCAATATAAGGAATGAAAGATGGGATAGCACTAGATATAGTAAAAAACATTCAAAGGATTATACATAAGATTCCCCATGCTGAAAAAAAAAAAAAAGATTCCCCATGCTGCATGATGTGGCCAAAAAAAGAATTAAATGTGATTTTTGGCTGCTCCGTGTGAAATCTTTAGTTCCTTGACCAGGGATTGAACCCGTGTCCCTTGCACTGGAAGTTCAGAGTCTTAACCAATGGACTACCAGGGAAGTCCAGGTTATATGTGATATTTCAGTTTTTATTCATTTAAAATGAAACAAAACCTTGATTTATATAGCAGCTGCACCACTCCAGTCATCTCACAACACTGGGTTTCCTCTCAGGGTTGGCCTAGAAAAAAGTTGGGCAAAACAAACTATATTTGGGTTGAAAAAGAAATCACAAGAAAAATTGGATTGGGGGGGCGGGGGGGGGGCTTGCCATGATCTTAATTCCCTGACCGGGGATGAACAGGGCCTACCTTAGGCCAGTGTAGGTCGCTCAGAAAAGTGAGCCCACAGGGTACAGGAAAGAAGGGCAGAGCCTGTGCTGCCCTTGACACGTCCCGTCCTGGCCCCTTGCGCCCTGGCCCCTGACCTCAAATCTGCTGTAGGCGATGCGTCCTTCACCCTGTGTTCTAGCAGGGAAGACAGTTCTCAGGCAGGACTCCAGGGAGTATACGATATTTTTAACAACTCTTTTCCAACAACTCTGCAAAAACTAGAAATGGACCAAAAAATTTTTTGAAATACTCCAACAACTCAGGTTCACTGAGGAAGAAATGAGTACTCTGAAGTGCCCTCTATTACAGACACTAAATTGGTAGTTTAAAATTTTCCCATTATGATTTTGTGCCAAGATGACTTCACTAGTGAATTCTTCTAGACACTTAAGGAAGAAGTAATTCCAATACTACTCAAATCATTTTTTTTTTAAAGGATGAAACTCTCCTCAACTAGTTTTAGGAGTTAACTTGATACCAAAATTAACTTGATACCAAAATCAGGCAGTACTATTAGAACTGAAGACCAGCACCCACATGAACATAGACACAGAATATCCTAGACACAACTTTAGGAAATTAAAACCCTGTCATAATTTGTAATAGAGGTGAAGAGCCCCTTTTGGGGGGGCTGTGGGGGACGTCGCGCTATGCGACATGTTGGATCTTCGCCAACCAGGGATCAACCGGGCCCCCTGCGTTGGGAGAGTGGAGTCTCATTTAACCTTAACCACTGTACCGCCAGAGAAGTCCCCTCAATACATAATATAATCTTACAAGTGAAGATGTGAGATGCTGCTGCTATGTCGTTCCAGTCGTGTCCGACTCTGTGAGACCCCGTAGACGGCAGCCCACCAGGCTCCCCCGTCCCTGGGATTCTCCAGGCAAGAACACTGGAGTGGGTTGCCATTTCCTTCTCCAATGCATGAATAAGTGAAAAGTGGAACTGAAGCCGCTCAGTCCCTTCCGACTCTTCGCGAGCCCATGGACTGCAGTCTACCAGGCTCCTCCGTCCATGGGATTTTCCAGGCAAGAGTACTGGAGTGGGGTGCCACTGCCTTCTCCTGATGTAAGATGGGAATGTAGTTAATGTAAAGCCCAGCGACACAGCGAGAATCCATTCAAGCGGGAAACTTAGTTTCCAGGCTGAAACTGATTCCCGGAGCCGCAGGCCCGACCCCACCCCATCTCGAGCCGGGATTCGCTACGTTCCGTGGTGGGAGGGCTCACATCCTCCGCGAGACCTTGTCATCTCGCGAGACAAGCTGTCACAGCGCGCAGAGACTGTGGTTGTATTTTCCCGTGCTTAACACTTTGCATTCCTGGGGATTTAACGCTAAATGCGTTGTAAGTACGTGTACAAGGACTTTTGCACAAGAAAGTTCACCGGAAAGCCTTTGTATCCGTGAATTCTGGATGTAGTCACGGATATGCGGACATGGGTAGGGGCCTGACGCTTCTTTTGCATCTTTAGGATTTTTACAGGATATGATGTTCAGCAGGATCTGACAGGCATTTGATGCGTTAGGGAGATCTCTCAAGAATTTACTTCTCCTGCTAACTCCAAGCATATTGGCAATGCAGGGGTCGGAGGGGAGAGAGCTGTATTAAGCCCTAGTCCTGCTTGCAACAGTTAGAACTGGACATGGAACAACAGGCTGGTTCCAAATAGAAAAAGGAGTATGTCAAGGCTGTATATTGTCACCCTGCTTCTTTAACTTATATTCAGAGTACATCATGAGAAATGCTGGGCTGGATGAAGCACAAGCTGGAATCAAGAATGCTGGAAGAAATATCAATAACCTCAGATATGCAGATGTCCTGATGCTGGGAAAGATTGAAGGCAGGAGGAGAAAGGGATGACAGAGGATGAGATGGTTAGATGGCATCACTGACTCAATGGACATGAGTTTGGGTAAACTCCGGGAGGTGGTGATGGACAGGGAGGCCTGGCGTGCTGCGGTTCATAGGGTCGCAAAGAGTTGGACACGACTGAGTGACTGAACTGCACTGAAATAAGTAATGCACCATTCACACAATAGAATACTGACATCTGTAAAACTGAATGAGGAACCTCTCTATACACATGTATGAAATTACTTCCAGAATATAGTTTTTAAGTAAAAGAACAGATGGGGAAGAGAAGGCATAGTATGCTACAATTTTCTTAGGCTTC